TGTGGATAAGGCTTTAAGTAAATTGTTTAAAGTAAATTGCATAAAGGAAAGGCTTGGTAAAATAAACAAGGCTTGAATGTAAAGGTTCGACAGGAATCTTAAAGGGAAAAAGCATGTAAAATACTGGAAAAGTAAATGACTTGAATTGATAAAATTGGTGTTTCACACATACATTTCTCAACAATTCGTTCGCTCACACTGGGTACTTGAATCTAAATGAGTGACTATGTATCTATTGTGAACACACGCGAGAAACTACGCGTCTACTCCTATTTATACAAAAACATTCCAAGTAACCGTCGGGCAGTTACACTGCTTCGAGATCAAGCCACTTGTCACGTTCTCCATGTTCGACGCTCCAGATCCTTGCACGTTAGCACGTAGTAACTGCTGGAAACCGTTTTCCCTCCAAAGCTTTGAATTTCAAACTGCTCCTCTCTGGACCATCGAACACGTTCGTCAAGAGACGTCTTCGACGAAAACTCCTTCGACGTCGAAGGCAATCAGCCTTCTTCCTTGGAAGAAATCTTCTAAGTATTTTTGCCATCTTTCGACAGGCACTTCGACAGGCTTAGCCAGTCGAAAGCATTCTTCAGCTTTTAATGGCTGTCATCAATCAAAACAAAGGTGTCGAATTTAGGAGCCAACAATAACATGACAAGTACATATAATGGTTTTCTTTCTATCAAGGGTCTTGTTACATACATTTGTTGACACTTCCAAGGTTGCTTGTTTGATAAACTCTAGGAGGTGTGTTTATCATGACGTAAGAAGCAATTTATTCTGAAGGGCTGATTTGGAATTGCACTACTAAAGAATGAGTGCATGCTATAGTGGACGGTATGCCTACATTATCTCTTCATTAAGTGACACGTGAAAAACGTTGTTCAATGGTATGGAGAATGTTACTCCTGATGTTGAAACAATTTAGCGGTCAAGGCTTGGAAAGAGATAGATTGAACAGATCCATGTCTCTCTCCTAAAATAAGTGGTGCACCGTTAACAAGGATGATTTTATCTTCTTTGAAAATGTGTGCATTGACTGGTTGTGTCGTTACAAACAAGGCATTGTTACAAACTGTAGTAACTTTTCTTGTATATAAATACCATTTACTCGTTTTTTCTCCTCAAGTTCTTTTTCATATGTTTTTTTTTGTTTTCTTTTGATTCCCTTTCAGTATTGCTTTTTGAGCCTTTCATTGAGGTTTTGTTTGTGTATTCTTTGTTTTTATTCTCAAACTCAGCTTTTGTCAACTTTTGGCTAAAAAGGGGGAGAGTATTGTCGTTGAGTCTTGTTTAATGTTGTTACTCCTTGCATGCAACAATTAAGAGAGGTTATGACCATCTGTCATAAAGGTTTTCTGTTTCTTTGTCTGGTGGTTCTTATCTTGTAGATGTATACGAGATGTCGTTCCAGATATTCTAACATCCTGTCTGGTGTATTCTTTTTGCTTCAGTCACATGATCTTCTAATATGTGCTGCTTCTGTCACATGGTCTTCTAACTTGGACTATTCAAGTTAGAGTTATTCTTGGTTTCTTGAGGCTTCAGAAAAATTCTCCTGGAACTTTACGATAAGAATTGGTTGAGTTTTAAGGGGAGTAACTTAGGTGTTCCTGAAGATACAGGTTATCTTCTTCCTCATGTATACAGTTCACAATTGGTGTTGTGTCTCTCTGGTGTTGTGTCTTACTGGTGTTATGTCTCCCTCTTTAGTGTTTTTTATGGAAAATGGGTGAATCTTGATTCTCTGTTGAATCTGTGTTGTAGTTGTTGAGGGGAAGAATTTGTGCTTTTTGTGGAAAAGGGGATGAATCTTGATTCTCTGTTGAATCTGTGTTGCTATTGTTGATAGGAAGAATCTTCTGATTCTCTACTGTGTTCTAAACAGTTTTGGAAGAATTCCACTGACCAATACTCTGATGTTTTATTCTATTGTTGTGCTTCTGATTTATGTGTGTTTGATTTATTTTCAAACTTGAGTTGTTTTATTATTTATATGTGCAAGGAGTATTAAGTTATTTTAGCCCAAATAAACCAAATGGAGATATTGTTAATTCTTTATTTATATGATTGAGAATATATTTGGTAAAACTAACTTAACAAAAATATGTTAAAATAAGATGTTCTATCAACTGGAGAAACATGTTGAACAAGATTTCCTATGAAGAATCATTCAACATTGTGACTAGTACAGTTGTACACTTGGATTAATTTAGTTATAATGGGTCCCGAATGTTCTGGGAATATTAGGATATTATATTTGTTGTTCAAGACTGAAGAATCAGTGATTCTTTCTGTATTTAGAAGATTAATTTGTTTCATTAAATGTTGAGATATTTTAGGAAACAAATCATTTGAAGTCCTATTTTTATGCAAAAGTTTCTACTGATTTTCTGTAACAGATCAGTTGCGTTTTTGAAGCCCAAATCCAATTCATTCAAGGTTATAAAAGAAAGACTTCAACCCTAATAAAAGTGGGGGAACTATAGTGTATTTTTGGAGCATTGTAGAACGTGATTGTGGGTGGTCTTGTGTGTTAATTGAACACTGAATCTTAGTGAATATATTAGGACTGCTTTGTTAATTGTGAGCCTCTCCAATATTACTTTGACAAAAGAGTATGATTGTCTCTTATTAAATTGTAAGTATTATTAATCATTCTTAAACTTTTAAGCATATAATTGTTACGTGTCTTCGAAGAGTGTCTTCTAAATTCAAGAATTGTTTTTATTCACTATAGTTATAGGAAGGGAAGTGAGAGAGATCTCATGCCTAAGTGTGTCTTAGATAGAAGTATAATACGGATAGTGATTAAATGAGAAGTTATAAACGGAAGGGTTTAACTTTGAATTTATACTATTTAGCGGACTTCCTTCCTGGCTTGATAGCCTTTAGAGTAGGTGTTGTTGTACACCGAACTGGGTTAATAATTTATGTGTTCATTTATTTTCTGCATTGTTTAAATTGTTATACTTTGCCATTATATTTTGTTTAGATATCAGTGTTTCGACATCTCTTAGAACATCTGAGATCTGAATACCAGAACTTCAGTGGTGTTCGATCATGAAAAAGAAGAAGATAAAAGGGTGATATTTTATTAAATTTCCCGCTTGAAATTTCTGAAGATGTATCTTCAGAATTGTCTTTGATTTGATTAAACTAACTCAATCAACTTAAAACACTATGCAGTGGTGATTTCAAAGATACATCTTTGAATAAATTTTTGACAAACGAATTTTGACTTGCACCACTTTTTATGTATATTAGATGCATGCATCTCTAAAATTATCACTAATTTAATTAAACTAGCTTAATCAACTTAAAACATCATTAGTGTTGAATATAGAGATACATCTCCGAATTAATTTTACCATAAATAAAATATGACTCATTTACAACATATTTTTATATGTATTAAATACATCCGAAAATATATCTCAAAAATATGAAAAAAAGGTAAAGTTGAATTTTCAATGTGTTCACTTTAATAGATAAAATAATGTCCTTTTTAAAAAGAAATGTAAGATGTGCCGAGTGCTGTCATTTTTTTAAAGGACAACATATCTTACGAAGACACCTGGTCCAAATTTATGATAAATTGGAGCTTGACTAGAATTATAAAAACAAAAAGATTAAAAACTTAGATTCGATATCAACCACAAATTTAAACTAATATTTATAAAGACAAGTTCTAAGCTTAATATTATTAGTGTCTAATGACAAATTTGGGGCTTGTTTCACTTTATTTGTATTGATTAAGATTAGTGCTTAATATTTGCTCTAAACTAAGCTCAACTTGTGATAATTGTTCCCGCTCAAACTTTATTCTAGTAAATAAATAAATGTGACCACAAACTAAATTAGATATCTTGCACTTATTGAAAATATATTCGAAAGATGAGGTACCCATGAGCTCTTAAATTTTAGACATGGAAAAAAAATACCTTATACCGTGAGACCCTCTAGTACTCATTTGGTAAACAGAAAACCAATTACCCGATTCGAATTTGAATTTTCTCCGATTTTAAAATATAAACATGAAACGAATAATAGTTATATTAGTATTCATCCCAAACTCGTCTGTTGATAATTTAAATATTTAATTTTAATAATTTAAAATCCTAATGCATAAATGAGACAGAACATGAACGTGGAACAAATCCACGTCTCGACATGTTAAAAGCGGTCATGCCCCAGCCCTCTTACCATGCCTACTTACCATTAACAAAAGATAAATGTAGATCTAAAATATCATGTTAATATGTAGTTCTAAATTACTATAATGTGAAATGAGCCTCGACAAAATCCTATTAAGCATGCCAAACTCAGATGGAAACAGTGAGAAAAAAAAAACTGAATATTCTCACGAGTTAGGGAATGCATAAGCATAAAAATATACAAATTGACAATTCTAAAACGTATCTGAAAAATGATAAAATCGTGCAACAAGGTTCAATATAACTTATTATTTCACCAGTGTTCTTGAGTTTTTTCAGAATGCTAAGTAGTCAATCAACCTGTTTATCGGCAAAGTTTGCACATCCCCGATAGGCCCTTAAAAAACACTACTTTCACCAATACGATGCAGAGTACAACCCACCCTTACCCTTCTATCTATAATAATAAGAAAGGAAACATGGGAATCATATATACCTAAACCTGTACATACTAACAACTACTGTGTTCCTAACACCCACACGTAGTAACAATAAATCCCTTCTTGTCAATAGAAAAATAAAAGACAAGAGGAACAAATCAAGCCAAGTGTATCATAAAATAAAGGGCCTGATTGCATATTTGTTTCACAATGCTGCATATTTTTTCTGCATCATGACAACTAGTAGATGATTAAGGATGAGTAGAAGCCTTCATCCATCATATAAGATTGCTCCAGAAGTACTTTTGAGCACTAAATGTATCTGAACAGATGCACGGTTGTGCTAGGTGTGACTTTTCAACCCAAAAACCATTTGGAGAGCTTCTCTTGCAGCTATCTTTCAACTTAGCACTGTCTCTGAATTCAGAAGACCTCCACTTCCCCCGGAATTACTGTTAAATCCAACCACGGGAACAGATCGCTGAGCGAAATCCAGTAATAGCTTCCTTTGGCGGTCATCGGTATGAGGGAGGCTTGCACGCAAGAGTTCAACAGGCATTTCATTACTAATAGCTTTAGCAGCATCTGATCCAATATCATCCACATTTGGTGTACTTTGTATAAGCAGGGACTGCATGATACTATGGTATTTATTCATGCAATACTTGGTAAGAAGGCCAAAGAATTCATCAAACGAGGCCTGCCAAAACGAACGATTGCCCATATTATAGTTGCAGGCTGCATGTGGATCGGTTAGAAGCTCGGTAGCCCTCTCAAGAACAGATACTAAAATAAGGGAAGCACCATCTCCAGCAGTGCTTCCAACAGGGCGTAGAGGAGGATGCTCTGCAGAACAAACAACTGCAGCAAGACAGGCGCTAAGAGCACCAAGATCCATTCCTCTGACACATTGGCAAACAACTTTGGCAAGGCTGCATGTAGTCACTGCAGCAGCCGGGTCTGATGGGAGACCTCCAAATAAGAATCTTAGATGCCGAAGGACGGTCATGCAGACTATTCTCATAAGCTCACTACCAGGAAGAAGCAATTGAAGATACTTTGCAAGGAGCTTGCGTCCCTTAGAGACAGATACTATCCGTAAGAAAACAAGGTCATCCTTAGCTGCAAGCCCAACCTTATGTCCATTCTTTCCCAGCGGGTCAACTAGTTGAAGTGAAGTAGCTAGTCCTTCTAACAGGACCTGCCTTCTTCGTCTTAATTGCGTTCCACCGTCTTGTGGCTGATTAGACTGTAGGAAACGATCAATATCCTCAACATCAAGAAGAAGACAAAGACCGTCTTCAATTGTGACTCTGGCAGCAAATGTAGGCTCCTGTTCGAGAGGCTTTTCTGAAGTCTTTAGCTCAGAGCTACCAGGAACAGAAGAGTTTGGAGGATCGACCTCGAGAAGAGGGCGAGGCCTACGAATGGACAAAAATGAAACCCTCCCTAGGGTATCAACCTGAAGAAATGCATGTGGATCATTAGTAGAACGTGTTCGTGAAGGAAGTTCTTTTATTTGGGTTGGGCAAAACGGATGTTTTAACTTTGCCACAGAAGGTTTTTTCGCAAGACGGCCTTGGTGGTAATAGTCATCTATGTATGGATCATTACTATGAGTGACAGCAAGTTGCATTCTAAGAATACTCTCAATTTCATCACTAGTCATATACTTGGAGCGAAACTGTAATGAACTGCTCTCACTCTTCTGGCTACTGGCATCAGAACCCTGATGGGATAAACGATGACTATGTTTACCTTTTTGAGTTGATTTCGGTCTATGATCATACTTGCTACTGACGGATGAGCTAGAGGAAAGATGGGGGTTAAATAAATGGGACTGGAAACCTGACAAGTAGCCTGCAGATTGCTGAACAGGATGATGCAGTCTATGCTGTTGCAATTGAGTCATCAAGTGAGGAGAAACCGATCCATTATGAAGTTGTAATTGTTGCTGCAACATATTACTAAGGAGGTTGGAACGATCTCCCGGATATAACCCTGCTTGGTTGATCAATTGGTTCTGTATTCGTTGATTAAGAGAGGAGGAACCAGTAAGAAATTGACGTGTGTTTCCACCAAAATGAGACCCAAGGTTTAATCCACTCAACTGTAGAGCAGAATTGGAGAAATGTGAACGATTTTGAGATGATAGCGCCATCTGAGCTGCTGGTCCAGTGTGATAAGGAATGTTTAAGTGACCTGTACTTTGACTTGGAGAACCCTGCTGAGACCGACCACCTGGCGGAGGATAAGAAGTAAATGAAGACTTCTGTACCAATATTGGCTCACTAGAAAAACGTGTAAGCTCCGGTTGTTTGTCTGGATATGAAGATGTTCTGTACAAGGATGTTGATTCGTGCAAGTGTGGAATGGAGGTATGCGGCTGAGATGACCACCGTTTGTCATCATGAGCTGTTTCAGTATCATAAATCTGCTGATCAAGCCAGTTGTGAACGGGCTCACTGTTACAATGTTGGAGGTGATAGTTTTGATCCTGCCTTTGCTGCTCGGGATATGAAGATGTTCTGTACAAGGACTTTGAACTTTGTAAATGAGCAAGAGAAGATTGGGGCTGTGATGACCATCTTTTTCCATCAATTGAACCTTCACTGTCATAAGCATTCTGATCATACCAGCTATGAACATCTTCCCTTTGTGCCAAATCAGATGTAGAGTCTGGATAGTGGATACAACAAAAAATATAAATAAGTCAGTCAGCTTGAAAAAATATTGTCTACGGTGAGGGGGATTACGCTTACTAAAACCCAGCAATACATAGTCTCTTTGAACACAAAAGACACATAACATCATCTTAAAATATTTTGATGTGGATTTTAAACAAACAAAACCAGACCTAAAAAATCATTATCTTATCATTAGTTTTATGACTACATGCTGCAAGATAAACACTTAATAGACTCGGGACATTTAAGTTATCATCACTTTTACATCACACACTCCTTGTTCCCAAATAGAAGATGTTTCTACTTAAAGACCGTCAGGTTACGAACAAACTTGTAGCAAAATCCATGGTTGCCAAACTCCCGAAAGAAAGATGATAATAGTAAGAAATGTAGGAGTAAATAGGCAAATTAGTCCTCAATTATAAGCATGGATCAAAATAGTTCTTGTATTTGCAAAAAACATATTCATTCTTTAAATTATAGTGGTCTACATCGGATAATATATGGCATGAACATTTGCTTATAAGTGGAGGCAATCCTCACCCTACAAACCGGTTTTATAGGGATGAGTTAGACTCAACTACAATTCTTACCATGGTAGCAGAGCCCGGTTTGAGACCCGTTGGACCACCCACCATTTAGTTCCATGCTCCAGACGTTTAATCTTGGACGTGAGAGGGGGTGTTAAGAGTACCACATCGGTCAACATATGGCCTGAACATATGCTTATAAGTGGAGGCAATCCTCACCCTACAAACTGGTTTTGTAGGGGTGAGTTAGGCTCGACCGCAATTCTTATCATGGTCAAATCAAAATGGTCCCTCCATTAACTTCTGCTGCCGGATGATATGACATGGCACACTAAATAAACATGTGGCCTTCAAAGTGGATCCCATATCAATACATGAATTTCACGTGACACGTAAGTTTTCAGTGATGTGGCATTGATGTCAGATCTAAGGGAAAGACCTCGGGTTCATTTAACATGTAAAGTCATAGTTTAACAACAGAAGTTAACAAGGAACCATTTAGATTGATGTGTTATAGTTTATAAATGCATTTGCTGTTGTGTTAAATTTAAGGACTATTTTGACTAATGCTGACAATTTGGAAAACTAATTTGCCTATTCACTCAGAATGTTAAATAAATAAACAAAACTAGCGCAAATGTTGACTTCATTTATTTTAATAATAGAAAAAGGCAAATTGATGGGTGAAATAAAATTGCTTTACTCACTTTCTCTTGATCCCCGTTCACCAATAACACCTGGGTTTCTTGGTCCGCTGACAACCTTGTTCAACTGAAATAAAATTTTAAAATAAAAAAGAAGCTTAGTATTCATATTGAGGAGTAAAGCAGAAGCAGTGACTATTTACAGAGACATGGAATCAAGTATGATCAAAATCATAGCAGTCAGAAATTGAATCACAAAATTGCACATGTAAACACACATATCAAGAAAAGATCAAACAACTAATTTTGTTGAGAACTAGTTAGTTGATGACAATAACATTCAAATATGTTTGAAATGCCAAAGGAAGCAAGCTAATCAGATTAATCTTTCATTTACCAACTCTTCCTTTAAAGCCATACCAGAAATACCTTGACGGCTGAACCAAAAGAAAAAACTTGCTATGGATACCATCTTAAGAATTGTGGTTAAGAATTGTGGTTGGGTCTAACTCAACCTTACAAAATCAGCTTGTAAGGTGAGGATTGATAAATTTTAATGTATCTATGACATCACATTACTGCAATCAAAAGATGAATTTGAACATTCAGTTGATTAGACAGTGCATAGTCCACCAAACTTCACACTTCAAACTCGTAAGGTTTGTGTGAGTGGCATTATATTACAAGAATAGTGGCATATCAAAACCTTTTATTCTTGTTTTATATTGGTCAGACAACAGAAGTTAACAAGGAACCATTTAGATTGATGTGTTATAGTTTATAAATGCATTTGCTGTTGTGTTAAATTTAAGGACTATTTTGACTAATGCTGACAATTTGGAAAACTAATTTGCCTATTCACTCAAAATGTTAAATAATTAAACAAAACTAGCGCAAATGTTGACCTCATTTATTTTAATAATAGAAAAGGCAAATTGGTGGGTGAAATAAAATTGCTTTACTCACTTTCTCTTGATCCCCGTTCACCAATAGAATTTCCCAAAAGCTTAAGATATAAGATAAAATCACTCATGTGCTCAATAAATAGCTTAAGCTTTTAAGCAATTGGTTCACGACATGCCACTAAACTTCATGAAAAATCTTTGTTGGTCGGACCAGGCAAAGCCCGAGAATAAATACCAACCACTTGTAATATAATACCATAAAACAGGGACAGTCGTGTTGTCTGACCAATATAAAACAAGAATAAAAACCATATTGTTAGTTCCACAAGCCCAAACCACAACCCAAACATTGTTGTCAATCCCAGCAGGCAGTTGACCCTGAAACTAGGATAGCGTGTAGCAGGATGGCCGTTATTTGAATATTCACATTTATAGCTAAATAATATCTATTGTAAGTATGTACATCTGTGTGTGTGTGTGTCTATATATAAAATATCAAATAATTTACTTATTTTTGGTGAACAGGTCAAACCTGAAATAAATACACAAAATTGAGACAATGATTCTGGGAAAGACACAGAATTCCTATCTCCCAACAAGGCAAAGAAGGAGAAATCAGGAGCAATGTCAAATATATGTTCCTCAGGATGCAAGACCAAATTTAGCGAATTATTTTTATTTAATTATATGTTACTTTGTTATTTTATTATTTATATATTTATCACTATTTATTTATCACTAATAACTAGTAACTACTAATTCAAAGGCCTGCGATTTTTTTCAATGCCTTTCAGTTGATATTTATGTAGATTTAAGGGCCCAAACATTTGGCTGCAAAAGTCACGGGATTAAAATGTGGCCCCGATCTGTGTGCCACGACGGAAGTGACTTGCACTACCACGTTCTGGCTGAGACCCCGGCACCCTCATTGTGCGACGCTATAGGCCTAACTGTGGCGGCCAGCAACCTGTGGCCTCAGCACTCTCAATGTGTGACACCCTAAACCTCACTGTGACAGCCAGTAACTATTCGGCGTCACACCGGCATGAAAATTTGCTATTAACTACCTAGCAACGAAATAGTAATATTATTCCCAAATGTTTAACTATCTAGTATGAATATGGACTTGGAAAAGGCAGTTAATCTCAAGAACACCTAATATGATAGGATCTGTTTGTGGTGGAGGAGCACATGTTTCAAAATGTGCCTAGTCTTAACATAATAAAATAAATTAGAAACAACACTTTTCACAAGTTTAAGATCTTCCACTCTCTGGCATAATAGCATTTACAATCATATAACCCTTAATTGCGATACAACAAGGGGGAAAACCCCATACTCAAGCATAGGATGAAGCTTCTTACATTATACCCTGAACTAACTTAAGTGTATGATTCTATCTCAGTTGACAAATATGAACCAAACTTGTGGCTTGTTTCAACTACTCCTCATTGGAACGTTGAGAAATTTTAGGGAAAACAAATTCAACTGAAATTATCGAAAAACCGTGCAGGAATAACAAATTACTGTTGGGTCACTTTTTTGTCTTTCTCCAGTTCATGATTCAACTCATATTTGAAACATTACATCAATCGTATTTTATAAAACTTATCTTTCAAATATATATTTTTAGCATTTTTGCATTAAGCATGCGAATTTAACATGATCACAACACTTGGTCACTTCGCTAATAAGAAACTCCAGAATCCAAAAAAGTACAATAAACATAGTTTAACTTCCTTACCTTCCAAAAGGTGGTTGTAAGATCGTCAATATCGGAAAGAGATCTTACGTCCTCATCCTGCAAAAGTGAGAGTGAATGTTAGTTGATACAGAACTCAGTCATCATGTGTGTGAAACATGTGAAAAAGAAAGACAAGAGCCGTTGCTCAATTAAAATTGTAAACTCTACATAAATACATTTCAAAAACATTCTATCCACATGAGTTTTGAGAGAAAAAATAAACAAAAATAAGATTGAAAACAAACCTGTTCTCGATTAAAAAAGAACTCCTCCTCATTAGACTCAAAAGTAGGCAAATGGGCATTGTCCTCTAACCCTCCCAAATCAACTTCCTGGACAGCATCTTTCCCAAAGAATGCATATTGTGATGCATCAAAAACAGCACCTCCTGCATAACAAAAACATCATCAAACACATTTTACCAATTTTCTTAGAACTACTTAACATCAACATCAAAAGTAGTACATAGCGTACGACATGTCTATAAATTGTTTTAAGCTTATTTATATTAGCTCTCTGCAATAACTTATGAAAACAGTTTATAAGCAATCAACAATAGCATAAACCCGAATATGGCAACAATAAAAAAAGCTTTAGATTCAGCTACTATGCAATCCATACAACAATTTACAACATGAAGCTTAATTGTATGAACTAAAAAAAACAAGCAAATAACAACAACTTGAAATGTAAAACTAACAATCATACACCATCTTCCCCAATAACTCATATTAAATTACTGTCTAAAACAAAACCAGATCTACATGACAGAAAATTAATCAAAGAACACAAAAACGAATAGCAATTAAACAAATAGTTTCAAAAAAAAGAAAGAATTGCATCACAGAATAAGAAGCAAACCTGTGGGAACATCACCCAATTGCCTAAGATCTCCATTATTGGGACTTCTTCCAACATCACCCCCACCTCCAAATCCATCCATATCAACCATAAAAACGAAGGAAGAGAAAAACACAGAAAGATGAAAACGATAACAGAATCAGAGATTCGAAGAAAGAAGATAACCGATGTGAAAAAAATTGAAACTTGAAACTTTTTTTCAAGAGTGTTTGAGAAGAAACGGTGAAACGAATAAAAGGAAGGATGAGGAGAAGATCTGTGTTAGGAATTTAGCAGTTAGAGATGGGTTCGATTTGGATCAGAGACAAATATGAGAGAAAGAAGAACCCTAGAAAGTAAATATAGGTAGAATTTTAGGCATTTTCGTATACAAAAATCGTAGTGCTAAGCTAAAAGGAATAAATTGAGATATTTTTCGGAATATAATCAGCATTCCTATAAAATTTATATATATAATTTTATAGATGTGATTCATATTTTTCTCTAATAAAAATACGATAAATAAGATGAACAATAAATTTTAATATAAAATTTATATTTAAAATCAGAAACTATAACTTCAATTAGAATTAATTCTCGAGACAGAATTAATTTTACTATAAAAGAATCAAACACCTCAAAATTACTTCAAGATTAATTCTATATTTTTAAAATTACTTTTGACATTTTTAAAAGACACATCAAACATATTACTAGTAAATTTGAATTCGCTCTTATAAATATTGATATATAGATATTAATTGAGTTGATTTATATATTTAATTTTAAGTTTTACATTTCATAAAAATATAAACAAAACATTAATGTTTACAAAATAAATTTGAAGTATTCTTGGATCTAAAGCTATGAGTTAAGTGTTTAAAGATTTATAAGATAGTATAATAAATATTTACAGCATTCTTGTTCGATTAGAAATTAGAAATGAAAAGTGAGATATTAAAGTTATATTTTTTATATGACAGAGAGGAGACTCGCATATAAGGTTAATACTTTAATATTTAAGTCAGTAAGAGAAATTAAGAGTAAAGTGTGGGTGATAATAGAATTGAATACTTTAAATTATGTGTTTTACCCTTACATATTAAGAGTGGTTAAAACACTCACATGTGATGTGGCGTGTTGTGCAAACGGTGGTCGGATTGTATCGGATGGTGATTAATGCATTGGAGGATGAATTGTCTACTGGTTAGAACGAATGTCTACATGTTATGTGCATCTTTCAACTTGAGGTTAGCTCTTAAACCTTTTGTTATGGGTCTTGTGAACGGTCCAGAACAATTGTCTACTAGCCCTTGGTTGGGAGTAAAACCATTGGAAACGCTCATGTTTGTATTCAGACATTTTTACAAAATATTTTTAAACTCTGATTTTGGAAATAATTGTTTTAAATCAACGAACTTCAAACCACTATAATCCACCTCTCCTTTTGTGTACGGAGTCACGTGTCCAACAAGTGACATTAGAGTCCAACTCTTGTTTAAAGACTAATCATCTCAAGAGGAAGATAACTTTTTAACATTGTTTTTAATAATAGGAGTTTCCTAAACACACATTCCTCGTTTAATGGTGACATGTTTGCATTCTGAAAAACTATAATTAAAATTTAAACTAAAAGTTTTGATATGTGGAGTTCATCCAAGCATTAAACAAGAGGAAATGAACACGCAAGACGAAGAACATGAATGTGAATGCTTTTTTCACAAATGTTTTCCAATCTTTAATTTTTTTAGAAATAACGTTAGAGCTTTCGTCGATAATAAACATCTAAGAATTAAGAGTGTGAATCATAAACTTTGACCTAATCCTTAAATTGAGAAACGGAAATATTAATGATTTTCAGGAAATGTCAATGAAGGAAGAAATCATTGATATAATGAATGAGTTGATTCAATTGTTAAAGGATGGAGGCATGAGCTCAAATCTATAAGAATCTTTAGCAACTTCATCAAAGAACTCGTGTGAAAAAAGAAGAAGAAAAATCAATTTCAGTAATCTCTTTTAAAAGAACAATCTCAATGGTTAAACAGTCATCAGAAGATTCAGTGTCAACTGGAGAAACTTCATCAAGAAAAGAATATGAAAAAGAATAAGTTTCATCCAATAGAAATGAGGAAGAAGTGTCAATAATCCATGTATTCAAAGACTCAGCGTCAAGAAGAAATCTCAAAGAGTCAATATCTAGTAAAATCTTCGAAGAATATTCTTCCAACAAAGAAAATGAACAAGTTTGTTTGAAAACTTCTCGTGAACAACATGAATGTGAGGTAGCAGAGTTATTATACAAGCAATTGCTTAAATTAAATGTTAAATTAATCAAGGAACATGATAAGATTGAAAAGTATAAGGTGGATCTTAAATACTACATTGAATTTCTTGAAAATAGTAATGAAACACTTAAGTATGAAATAACTATTAACTAATATTAAAAATCAAACTGAAATATGTGAGACTTGTATCTCGATGAAAAATGAAGTGAAATACTTACATGAAACCCTAAGTAAATTTACTAAGGGAACAAAAAACTTGGATTGGATTATATAAAATCAAAGGTCTTCCTTGAATAAAAATGGATGACAGTTTAAATCTAGTAAATCACATAACAAATGCTCCTTTTGTTTAAAGCTTGGCCACCTAGAGTCGTTTTGCTTTGATAAATTAAGAAGGTCTGAGTGGTAATTGATAAGTGTTTGATTCATAGTGAATTATCACATTAAAACATGTCACTTATCTTACTCAAATTACAAGACTCTAACATGAAAACCTCAACTAATGAATAAAAGTAGTCTTATACAAGTTTACTTTCATTTGGTTTGCATTTATGCAGGTTATGGCCTTTAAACAGAAAACCAGAATTTAGACAGTTCGATAAGAGAGCAGTAGTGAGCTCCAACAAAGTCAAGACAAAAGGTTATAAAATCCAGAATTCAGACGCTTCGTAAAGCGACCAGTAGCGAGCTCCAAAGAAGTCAAGACAAAAGCAAATCAACAGGATTTCGCTCCTGGTGAGGATCAGCGAAGGAAAGTTCACTAAGCGAACTTTGGCGGTTTCGGAAGACGGTTTGAAAATACTTAAGGAAGAAGAAAAGTAAGTTTGCTAAGCGAACTTATTTCACCAAGCGAACTTGAAAGAATAGAACTGTTATAAATAGAGACAAAATCAGTTGAGTTGGAAATCATCTTGTAATATCTTTAGATAATACTCTGTAATATCGGTAGAATAGGAAATAGGAGAAAGGTGTTGAGGAGGAGGAGCTGGGTACGCATCAAAAGTCATAAAAATGTCGTTCATGCTCGTTCATCTCAATTTTTCCATTGTGCATCAAGCTACCATGAGTAGCTAAATCCCTCTCTTATTGGGATTGGTCATAGTTCACCGGAATGGTATGCATTTTCATTGATCATGGCATTATATGCAATTTATTTATGAATCATTATAGATGTTATATTTGTTTTATTGTTTAACTTCATGGATTTAAATTGATATTGAGAAATATAATTATAATCTCGATCCAAGATAATCATCTATTAAACTCTAAATGTTATACATAGATTTAGCTTTAATATTCACCATAAAGTATTGAATCTTAATGTTATCGTATTGTTTAATAGGCTGAGAAATTGGCGATTAAACTATAAGGTAGAAAACTTATTAGATGTTTAAACATAAACGCTGCTTGTGAGTGATACGTGATGTTATTGATACATGATGATATTGATACATGTTTAAATTATATATAATTGATCAGTGATTTGCATATTTAATCGGTGGATGAAATCTAATCCCAGCAAGCTTATCTCCTTGAAAACTTTCTTTATCAGTTATATGTGTTTACATTTCATAACTTACAAATCAAATATCTTGCAAAACTTTTGCTTATAATATAGTTATTGTTGAACGATTTTTGATATCGCACCAGTCCCTATGGATACGATTAAATAAATACTTATTTTTGATACCGAATATCAAAATGGCACTGTTATTGAAGACTAGTGTTTAGATATTAAAGCATAGCAATAGTTTATATCCTTTTAAGCTTTGTGAATTTATCTATATAATGTATACATTTGTTTTCGCAATGTTTGTTCAAGTGTTTGGTTAGGTTGTGCACTTTTTGTTTATGCTTCGAAGAAGAACTTTGAAAGATCAGTTTCTTTTTGATCCCGAGATCGAAAGAACAGCCTAGAGAAACAAAAGACAAACAAAGAAACAGAAACAACTAGCCAAGAAGAAAAATCAAAAGAAAGGAGTTTTCACATCAACTTCTTCAACACTTGTAACAACATAAACAATGGTTGAAGCAAAAGTTGTCAATGATGGGGGACCTTGTCGAAATAGCCCAAGACGGTTAGCTCCTCCCACCAATAACCAACAAGCAGAGATGAAAACGGGATTGCTTCAAATCATTTATGAAAATCCATTTGCAGGTCTTGTTCATGAAGATCCTTACACTCATCTCACCAAGTTCTATGAATTTGTCGGTACTATAGGTGCATCAGAAGCTGAAGAAGAAGCAGTGTTCATGAGGTTATTCCCATATTCCCTGATCGGTAAAGAAAAATATTGGTATCTTGACCAATCAACTGAAGTTATGACCAATTGGAACACATTGGAAGAAAATTTTATTAATTGATTCTTTTTGCACAATAGATTCATGGATGCAAAGAAAACAATTGCCACGTTCGCTCAAAGTACAACTGAAACTTTTTGTGAAACATATGAGCGTTATAAGTCAATGTTACGAAAGTGTCCAAATTATGGTTTCGATGAACTCACTCAAATCCATATTTTTCTTAATGGACTTCTGTAACACCATGTCGTAACCGGTAAAAAATAACGAGTCGCCACCATTACTTTTTGTCCTAACGATAGATGAATAATGGAATAATCCTAATTGTACAGAGATTATAAGTTCTTGATTCACTTTAGACAAAGGGAGGGTGTTAGGCACACATCTACCTTGTTCTCAAGGAAGTCCTAAGGTTTATGTTAAAAGGGTTGAATAGGGTTTTAATTTCTTAGTTAGGGGAATTCGCCACGATTTTAAGTCGTATGCCTACGTATCCTCTTATGAGAAATCAGAGTCTCAATTC